AACGATGTTCACCAAATGTATGAGGGATGTAATATACATCGGCCGATTATCCTAGAACATCCTTTTATGATTAGCAATGCATCGCCAAACCTTTGTAAGTCCGGCCGGCAACCACGCCATTTTTCTCATAAAACGCATTGGTTGCCCATCGTATGCACATCGCTGGATAATGTGACTGATACTTTAAGGACTACTTGGCCGATGTGGACCGATGTTGTGGCATCGTTAACACCACGGATTACTACCGATTACCACCGGTCTACGGCTACCGGCCGGGAAATGTGACCTAGGCATTAACGGGTATTTGTTTCGTTCTAAGGTCTCAAAATAACATTAAATGTTTAAATGGAGTATTATTTTTTGTTAATTTACTTTTTACCGAAATATATTCATTTTAATGTTATCATTAAACTTTAGAAGGTAACACATAACTCTTAAAACATCCCCCTTCTTGCTATCAGTCATTTTGAGGAGAAATAGGCATCACATTCGGTAAAGAAAGACGATTTTTTCCCGGCCTTTTAGTACAATACTTATGACTAACAGTTTCAAAACCTTGGAAGCCCAACATATTCTTAAAATTTTATTGAAAATGGAAAAAGCAACATCCGGTAATGGAAAGAAATTCATTCAACCGTTAAATAACTGATTTGGCAAAGTAAAAGATGTCCTAACTTTTTTGGTACATAGTTATAGCCTGCATATAATTTTCATCCTAAAATAAGGGTGTTGCGTTCCTATTGACGGTGAGTATATATTTATTAACGCTTTTTATATATAATGGCATTGGAGTCACAGTTTGAGTGGGGAAAAATCTCCGTCAGTTATTCGTTCTGGTTATTAAAATAAAACCCAGCTATTGGATATCATAAACGTATATACGTGTTGACAAATCTTTAATTGAGGACAATGTGAACATATACATACCTATTTCTTTTTCAAGTTTTGGATCTGAAAAAAAAAATCAAGGCAATATAAGACATATTAATCACAGAAAAATATGCATTGAGATATTCTGAGATAAAATAATCAACACGTTCATCACTTACCGATGCGCAAACTTAGTTTCTTTTCCATGTCACTCAGCTTCTCTGAAATTTATATTTACATGTATTTTAATACACTAAAAATAGTATAATTTAAAATTGATTATGAAGATTTGAGAGTTTAAATTAATGTCAATAGGAAAAGGAGAATATAAAAGGAAAGCTGGTTTTTTTTAAAAAAAAAAAAAAACGATAAAGGTATGAAAACTGAACTCTGCTTGGATAATGTAAGGAATTTTATCGCACATATTTTTTTCAGTAGATTTCCATAAAAAAATATCCAATCCTTCCAGTTGAAACATAAGCAGTAGATCTACCTTTTCACAATATTACACAGCCAAAAAATCTGTCGCTGCTTTCTGTTCCATATTCTTTGAAGACAGTATAAAATAATTCAAAATAACCAGTATTTAAGTAAAATGAGCCTCTATCTGAAAATATATGTACCTGAAAATCTAGACACAGATGAATGTAGGTCATCAACAACCCCAAGTCGGTTTATGTATTTATGCTCATGTTCAGGATCCATGGAACATGTTTTAATTTCCTTCACAGACTCCTGGTAGACAGTAGACGTCCCTAGATGGCGCTCTAATTCAACAATGATGCCCCGGATGTTCCGCCATTCCTGACTAAACTCTGAGTCGGAAAGAAATATATCGGCAGAATGGCCTTGGTATTTGTTCCGAAGAAGACGAATCCGTTCGATATTTGCGGCGACAATTCTATCAGCGGGGTCTGGATTCTCGCCCCAACCTTTAGAATGTGGAGGTATTTTACTGACATTCCGAAGAATGATGTACAAGATAGATATATCAAGGTCTGAATAGTCTCCCTTATACTGATTTGTCGGTGTGGGGAAAATGATGTCATTTTGTGATGGATTAAAAGGGTTGCGTTTTTTGTTTTTCTTTAAATCATCAGTCCATTCTTTGACTTTCTTGGATAAATCAGACGGTGGAATTTCCTTTTTAAGAATTTCACGTAATACATCAGTACAGGGTCCCAGTATGAGCCTCGCCAGCCGAGCAGTGTTTGTCGTCTCTGGTGTCGATGTGTACTTCGATAACGACATCGTATTCTTATATGGTGAAATGTTCTAAAATCACAAACTCCTCGTTATGTTTTCTATATAAAGAAAAGGAATATTATTGCATGAAGAAGGATATGGAGCTAACGAACAGTATTTAATCTCAATGTCCATTAAACAATATACAAAATAAGAGCAGAGCAAACACGGACCTCCGAAATATTAGAGGTGGGATCAGGTGCCATGGAGGAGTGAGCATCCCCTGCCGACCGCCATGTGCTCTTCGAACTCAGTCAATAAATGTATAATATTAACGAACATCTTGAGAGCACACAAAGGACAGAAATGCTCAGCATTTTATGTGAAAATGTTGGGCTATTTGTAGTTTCGTTAGTGCTTTTCTTGCATGATACAAAACTGGTATACGAAATATATATTATCTCTTGTACTGACCGTATATAAACATATTTATTTTATCTGTTATTGACTGTAGATAAGTAAAATCACGCGCTTATGACACAATAAATGGTAAACAATTATGGTAAAGATAATTTGATAGTTGAGACAAAAGTATGGAATATTTTACAGGTGTTTAAATTAATGAATGTTTCAGTACATTTCCGAATAACGAATTTTTTGAAGCGGTAAATATCAGATGCTCTAAAATAGATTTTTTTTTTGGAATTTATATTTTTAATAAAATGAACTCTGTGACGTCAAAAGTACTCTTTAGAAATCTGGCATTTTATTTTCATCCTTTAAACCTGTGAAATAATAAGGTTCACTCCTCCATGGCACCCGTACCCAATTCTTATGTTTCGGATGTCCATGTTTGTTCTGATCCTATTTTTATTGGTTTATGGACTTTGATATTTGATATTGTTCGTTATCTCTCCTCCATATACTTCGTTAAATTCAGCCTTATTTATTACCCATAACTTGTTTGTCAGTAATAACTAACTTTGTCTTAGAAATTGAGCCCCGTGGGGATCCGGGTTAGAATAGGTCCTCAATACCCCCTTGCTTGTCGTAAAAGGCGACTAAATGGGGCGGTCCTTCGGATGAGACCGTATAAACCGAGGCCCCGTGTCACAGCAGGTGTGGCACGATAAAGATCCCTCCTTGCTCAAAGGCCCTGAGTGCCGAGCATAGGCCTAAATTTGCAGCCCTTCACCGGCAATGGTGACGTCTCCATTTCAGTGAAATATTCTGGAGAGGTACGTTAAACAGTATACAATTAATCTTAGAAATTGAAGATGCGTAGTTCATTCTCTTGCTTAGAGATATAAATCTTGTAAACAGTTTATGAGGTTACTGTAAACAGGGAAATTTTCGCCCCCGTTATATCCGTGCCCCTTTCGCCCTACTATCATTTGGGCGAGGTGAATTCAAAGAATACAGTATAATTTCTTAAACGAGACTCTGACGGGTGAAAGGGCAAAAATAACCCTGTATACGGTATTGTGGCGATATAAATAAGGAAAATCTGAATATTAATATACGTAAGTTTTATTAATAAGATCTATACAACTTTAAAATGACAGATTTAATTTAAAAACAGATAGCAATAGGTAACACTAGTGACTCAGACTTTAATCATGAAATATTTTTTTTTCTTTCGGACTTTGTTTGCGTCACATCATGTGCAGTCAGAGAAGCAATTAAGAGATTCCTAACTATTATGAATACCGGTAAGTTATATGTGAGAGTAGATAATACCTCTGAAGCTTATTTCTTTAAGTACAGTAAGAAACTCACCAAAGGCACAGAAAGAATTCGGTTTGGAAAAATACCCTCATGAACACATAGTGTAGTGATCTCTTCCACTGACTGTAGACAAATAAATTTGTTGTACCAGTTACTGACTGTAGATAAACAAAAGCACGTGCTTATGACACATGTACGGTAAACAATAATGATAAAGTTAATTTAAAAGTTGAGATAAAGGTATGGAATATTTTTCATGTGTTTAAGTAGTGTTTCAATACCTTTCCGTATAACGGATTTTTATTTTGTCCTGGTAAATATCGAATGTTCTAAAAATGATGTTCTTTTAAATTTTTATTTTTAATAAATTAATCTCTGTTATGTCAAATAGTACACTTTAGCAATCTGACATTTTATTTTCATCCCTTGAACGTATGAAATAATCTAAAGGGCCATAATGGCTTAAGTGCTTGACATGAATGACAAGTGTAAGGAAATGTAGCATACAGTCTAGACTTTTACCAGTGTTTTCTCCAGAATTCATTATCACATATACATAATATATATTCATTCAAAACATTAATGCATTTTGAACAAATTGTCAATTTCACTTAAAATTATTAATAGAAATTGTTCCATATAAAAAGATCTACTAGTAATCACAATGAATGCTCTGCTCTTCTACGGACTTTGAGATTGAATACTGTTCGTTATCTCCATATCCTTCTTGTATTGTTTTATAGACTTTGAAATTTGATATTGTTCGTTATCTCTTCTCCATGTCCTTCGTTAAATTCAGCCTGATATATTACCCATAACCCGTTGATCAGTAACTAACTTCGTTTTAGAAATTGAAGATGCGTAGTTCATTCTCTTGCTTAGAGATATAAGTCTTGTTAACAGTTGATGAGGGTATCGTGGCTACATACGTAAGGAAAATCTGAATATTATTATATGTAAATTTTATAAATAAGATTTATACAACCTTTAAAATGACAAAACAAAAATAATTTTAAAAATAGATAGCAATAGGTAACACGATTGAATAAGACTCTTATGAAATATTTGACTCTTTGGGAAGATGCTTTCGTCACATCATGTTCAGTCGGAGAGCAGTTAAGAGATTCATCATTATATAAACACAGTTATTTGTGAGAATAAATTATACTGTTTAAGCTTATTTTTTCAAGTACAATACGAAACTCACCAAAGGCACAGAAATAATTCGGTTGAAAGAAAACCCTCATGAACACATAGTCTAGTTATCTCTTGCACCGACTGCAGAAAAACATATTTGCTGTACCAGTTATTGACAGTAGATAAACAAAATCACGCGCTTTTGACATAATGTATGAAATAAAATTATGTCAAATCTTATTAGATACGTGAGATAATATAAATTCTGTTAGTATTAATCAAATATACTGAAAAGCCCTTTAGGGTCACATGAATCGATCGCATGACCAACGAAGATAATTTTCCAGTTGATTTTCAAATATCATAGTTTACCTGTTGCTTATCTATATAAGTTTTTTTATATATATCTGGACAAGTAGATAAGTAGACTAGTCGTTCTCGAGCAATAAGAGTTCTTTTTCACTTTTTTTATAAAATTCTTGTAAGTTATTTTACCCTAAAGAATCCAATCCAAATGGCTTGTTAATTAGATTTAAAGCAATTTACGTTAATAATTTCGTGCATGTATCTTTGTGGTTGCCAATGCGTTTGTCTTTTCGTTCATTAACAAAACCTTTAATTTGTAAACTCGGTTCTTTCTGTGATCTGGTTTTATCGGATCCATAACTTTCATCAAAGCCTTAGTTTTCTCAGCCAATTAAATCACCGTGCTAGGCCACCTATTTATTTACTTCTTTGTTTAGTCGGAGTGGACAAAATAAGGATGTATTATCCTTGTAGCAATCAACCAATCGTTCTGTGCTTTTGCATTTAATTTTTTTTAAGATCCATTGTTTATAACGTCTCGCAGACTTTATAAGCCTCATGCGAGTGACAGGAGAAGGAACCTACTTTTTAATCAGACTGTCAGCCTCAATTCTGATTATTTAAATCTCCGTCTTGACAGTGATTAGTATCTTGTGTTTGTTTGGCTAGGGCTTGCCCCACTCATACATTAGCAGATGTATGATGTATGAGACATTAGCACGTCATTTCCGGTAAGATCGGATATAGTATTCATACACATTGGTGGAAATGACCTAGTCTGCAGTATACCAAACATTTCAAGGCGGGTTAAAGAATTATATACTGCATATATCACCGAGTAAAATTAACATTTTTGAATTAAAAAAACTTTTTTATTATGTTATACTAAAATCGGACGTTTATACGTGAAATTTTTAATCTAAATTTAATACGTGCTTATTCGTAGTAAATTTTGTCTTATTTATTTCATTCCTATGAAAAAAAGATTAAGGCATTCCAATTGACACTCTGTCAAAATAACTATTGCTCGTTAGGAATTAATGCCTCAGGATTTGTTTATAACTTTATTTATATAATTACTTATAAGCTCTTTCTTGTTTCTTCTATCAAAGAAACACACCTGTCCATCAATTAACTTAACTAGTGTCAAAAGTCAATTATTGTTAACTCTTAATCTTACAAATATCTATGTCCATCATAATTTTTTTCAGTTTTTGGTGGCCCAACGTTCTACCGGCCACATCAAACACGATCAAGTCTCTTAAGATATTGTTGGATTCATGTTTGTTATTCACCATCGTCTTTAATAAATTCTGAAACCTGATTTACCAATTCTTGACTTTATTTTGGAAGACCATAAGGCATACGGCACCTCTACCCTTTACATTTTATTCAGGCCCACAGCGCCACTGCTTCGTTATACCCGCCAACATTCCTTCTCCCCCGTTTACATTCAACAACATATTAAGTCCAAGAATTACTTTATTTACAACTTATGACGGAAAATCTTACTGGTTATACATAAACTGGTAACACATACATTGTGATTTTATATGATCTTCCCCAATACTAGAAGAACTCCAAGGAAATGAAGAATTTTAGGAGTCTATGCCGCATATGAAAGGGGTCAACTCAGAGAGCAGAACCCTGGGGCCCGTTTTACAAAAGGACTTACATTGTACGACTTAAGACCAAATTCAATTCTTCGTATAACTTTTTATTAACTTTATATCGAAAATTAATTTTGTTAAAAGAATATGGTAAGGTATATTTACAGAAACAACTTCAAAGAGAATGATTAATTTTGCAAAATTTTACAATCATCTAAAGTTTTTGGTGTTTCTCGTAAGTTCTTTTGTAAAACGGACCCCTGATACCTATATTACAAAACATCTGCCTTACATTCCATATTTGACTTGTGAAGATTTGGAAAACAAACTTTCAACATATATACAGCAAGTTCAGAATTTGTGATATTTAGGATCCGCTCAGGTTTTTTGAAAGTTACAACAACTGTCTTTGATCCCGAAACACGTTTTCTTTGAAAGTACATGCTTCAGAATGGCAAAGAAAAGATTCCATATGTACTTATTGTAAAATTTAGTGTGTCTGTATTTTCAGGTAAATAAAGAGCAGTCTTTCATCTGGTTCCCAAACGCAGAAAAAAGTCATATCACAGGATCAAGAAAGTAAAATCATGGCAGAAGAAAAACTTATGCAACAACAATAATGTTTACTTTGGTCGGTACTATGACTCAAGCAAGACTAAATAACCTGATGATCCTTCACGTATATCAAAAAGAGTAGGAGAATCTAAATCTAGGGGATGTAACAAATGAATTGTTGGTGAAAGTGAACACAGATTGTTCTTTTTTGGAAAGTTCCAATGAAACAAAGGACTAAAAATTGTGCCATTTTGATTATCCAATTCCTGCAGCTTACTCAATTTATTTTTTATTTATTCAGTTGTTCAATATCCCTCTAAACTATACACCTGGTAATAAGTTACTCAAAAGGAGACACCGCTATTTCCCGGTGGATTTTAGCACAAGTTTATACCTATACCCGGAACTCAGGGCCATTGGGCAGGAAGGGGTCTTCTTCATGTCACTATCTACTACCAAGCTCCGATTAAGTTTGAACAGTTCCTCCAAAGGACTCTAGAGCAGTGGCTCTATAACCACTGCGCCACACGAACAATTAAAGTATTGGAGTTTCAGTAACAACTGGTATGTATATCAGCAGGATATCATCAGGCTTCGGACAAGGCTTTACTATTTTTTATTTCAGAATGTTGGCAGCGCTGTAATTTTAGATAATAAAAAATTCAAGTTTCTACTTATATTAATATCATTCTTATATTTTGATTAAAAGTACAGCTTGTTATTTTGCATGCTTGTAAAATTCCTAAAACACTCTCCCTAAGTAAATGAGATCAGTGAGAAGGGTATTTTAATATTCTATGTGAACTAGTTATGTAATGATTCCAGAATATTAAAGTATGACCATGCAGAGTTTTCAGTAAGTCATTGTTGACATCACGTGACTTTATACCTATGTAGGGTAAATATACCGCGACTTTCCAGTAATCTGTGTTGTTATTCGGATGCAGCCAAGGAGTGAAGATGATTGATGGTGTTCTGAAGTCTGTAGCAAATGAAGTTGCGGTTATATTTTCCTTGCCTGTATTTAGAGTTTGAGAGGGAACTTGGAAGGCCAATTGAAGTTTGCCATTATTACACTATATTTACATCCACTGAATATTTTCTTCTTTATTTCTTCAGAAAATCCATTGCGTTCATCCCTGCATAAACTACATTAGGCATATCACCTGTACAGATTTCTTGATCAGTGGTCGTTCCATCAATGAAACGTACAAAGACTTTCGCATCATTAATTAATAATTAATATTTTGAATCCTACTTAAAATGATAATTTAAACAGATATAAATATAAACAATAAAATGTCTTTCTTTGTTTGTTGTTACTGGAATGAACGGTCGCAGCTATTGCAGAAAAAAATTACATTTTTTCTGCAACAGCTGCTTCCGTTCATTCCAGTAACAACAAACAAAGAAAGAATTTTATTGTTTAAGAATATCTCAAATCCAGGATATCCTGAAGTACCTGGTATTTTCTCGTTCGAGATAATGAGCTTGGACTGTATATACATGTCATTT